ATATATATATATATATAGTTGGGCCAAAGATGAGGCCCGTCCGGTATTGGCTTGATTGCAAAAAAAAAAAAAGAGGGCCAAAAATAGGCCCCCTCCAGTTTTGGGCCTGAGGCGGTGGCCTCATCTGTCTCGCCACAAACCGGGCATGCTCCCTGCATAACTGTCAAAAGGCGAGGACATTCAACCAACACTGCCTTCATCCATTAGACATTTTAATAAAAAATGTATATTCTTGAATACACCGTGTGGTGGTATGTGAGACGTAACTGTTAGGTCTCTATTTATAATTGTCTATTCTTTAGACAAAATTAAAGTAATGGAGTTGTAATTAAAGTCAAAATAGTTAAGGATTGGTATTATAGTCCTTAAAGGAGTCAAAGATGTCAAAGAAGATAATATATGATTAATGAAATGCAATTAGAAGTCAAAGAAGCATCAAAGTGTTGCACAAGCCATACTTCAAATTCTCAGTCACAATTTGCGACACATTTTTCACATAGAAAACATTCGAATTTGAAACATTTTAATCTAGAATAATTGTAGCCCTTTCAGTTAGCTTTCTAATACATTTTGAATTACCTCAATTTGATATCGGAAGAGAAAGTTATGATGAAAATACTGACAGCCGCTTAGGGACCTCTGGCCGGCTGCCAACTTGGTACTCGAGTGATGGTTCAATGGACAACAACCCTAGTTCGCGTAAAACTGTTATTTTTTTATCCCAATCAAACCTAAAACACTCCCATTATAAATATAAAAGCCAGGGAACATCCCAAAGGGTGGTTGAACTTTATTTTTATTATAAAGATCATTATTTGAATATCAATTACACATTCCCAAAGATATCTTTATTCAACTCCAAGTTTCATTGATTCATATATTCATCCCAAACATTCTTTGTTATTGGTTGAGTCTTGAATTAAGTCAGGAGAACATACTTTGAAGATCAAATATATATTCCGATGTTCTCTTGCTTCAGCCTTAAATCAAACCAGAAAAAGATCTTTGAACAAACATCAAAACAAAAAACCTACATTCTCCAATAAGCTTTCAGAGTTTTGGAATTTTGGGAAGAGAAGCTTGGATTCTCAGCACTCAAGGATGAGGTTCGTTTTTGTTGATCCACAATGAGAGAAAAGTAGCTTAGAGTTCTAAGAAATGCGGGCATGCACAACAAAAAAGAAGTTCATTTGCGATTTACAAGTTAGGTGTCCAAAGTCATCATATGTTTAGTAGTATCTGGACTGATTGTAAGTTAACTTTTCTAATAAATTTTATTGATAAGTTTACCAGGAAGTTTTGATCCCGAGTTGGAATTTTCCCACGTGATCATATTTGATGTTATTTATTTATTTGTTGATGTGAATGTTTGTGATTGTTTAACCATAGGAATTAATTGAATTAATTATCTTAATCGTCTAGAAACTAATAAGTGACTTGTTGCTTTTAATTTGTTTAAACTATTCGGCTAATTTAAATTTCAGTTTCGTCTAATTAAAATTTTAGTAACCTAATAAACCCCCGTCTGGTTTTGTTAAAAAATCAGATTTTTAGTATATTTGGATAGGAATGTGGTTAAAAGTTGATAAAAGTTATGACTTTCATATAATGTGGTTTAAAATGAGTTTGAGAGAAAAATAAGTTTTGAAAAAATGGGGGCCAAACATGGGTTAAATGATTTCACAATCAATCTAGGATTTAAAAAGAGGGGACACGTGTCAAAATTTTATTGGATAGTTTGAAAAAAAAAGAGCCACGCAGGTGCGACACGTAGCAACTGTCACCCAACCTTGTCAAATGCCCCTGTTCGAGTAGCTTTATTCTCTCACAATACCTTGATAGTTTTTCGGAGTTGAAAGTGCCGTAAGTTGCTTGAGCCAATTCGCTATAGTGAAATGTGAATAATGTATCGCCTCACATCAATGTCAAGGGGGTCCACCAGGTTCTTCCAGTTTCCTGGACACTAATCAACCTCCATCGATGTCATATACCTTGCATATTTTTAAAAAAAATTAAATTAAACAACTGTTTTGAGTAAGGATCTTCTGTACACCCCTTGAAATGTATCTATACTTAGTTTTGAGTTCATTAAAATTAAAGAGTCCTAAATTAAGAATAACAAGATAGCTACGAGGAACCTTTGTGTTTGTTAACACACACTAAATGCATGATCCTATACAATTGGGAATGTATATTATTTATCTTGTGCATATGTATATGCTCGTCAAGTTTTTATTATATATGATTTGAGTGTAAGAAAATGGACTTATTTGTAGAAGATACGATATATATTATCCTTGTAGCATGATCGGGTTGACAACCCTTGTAGCACGATCAAGTTGACAACTCACTATAATTTTGTCGTAGTGTAAGAAAATTGACTTATGTTGTCAAATTGATGTCTTAGTTGATTAGATTCCTCTTTGCATACCTAGTTCTGCTGCGTTGAAAGTGTCATAAATTGCTTGAACCGCCATAGTGAGTAATATATCACCTCACATCAATGTCGAGGGGGTCCAAATGGTGTAGTGAGAATGCGACATCATATTAAGCTAGTACTATTATGTGATTCGATATTGATATTAGGGCTTAACCACAAGAAATATTGCAGTCATCAGTCGAGAGGTTGAGATTTACTAATCCCCATTTCGCTGTCACCATACTAAAATTTTAAAACTGCGATACACCATCTCTTATTAGCAAATGGAAGGACTAGATTATAAATGTCATCTCCCTTGTTCACTACCATGTTAGCCTCTTCCCATTTGCTAACAGAGCTAATGTGCCCGGTGTGTCAAATTTAATGGGGAAACAGCCAAAAAGGACAACTATGGGTACAACCAAATGGAGAATGACTACAAATCTCATCTCATGGTTGAGTATTTCACCCACACTGTACAACATGGAAAACTCGAATGACTATTGTTAATGCAATATTTTCCAGGGGAAAAGACACCATGATCAGCAAACGCTACATAATACGAGTAATTAAAAGCTCAACTATATACGAACGGACTAATAGTGAATCCATAGAGAGCATCAAATAAGGCAAAGAATAGCTAACGTCTTTTGAACTCATTATATACAAAATGTTACATCGACTGCCTTCATTTTCAGGTTTTTTTACAATTTTCGCGCAAGGATGAAACATGTACATCAAGAAAATTGGTGAAGGCGGCAGCTAAAGGGAAGAAAAAAGCCTGAAGGTAAAAGAAAAAAGCCGACTGACCACACACAAACACACCACCCAAAAATGAAAGAAAAGGAATATAGTTTCAACCTCCCACCTAATTGAACACTATTGCTGGTTCGTCCAACTCTACAATTAACAAATCAATATATAATGGAGAAACAGGGCAAAGTTCTAAACTAATTCTGCCTGCCTCCAAAAGAATATGCATCCAATCCTCCCAAAGGCCTACCCCGATAAAGGCTAATCAAACTCTACAAATCCTACACTTCAATCATTGACTACAAAATGCACCAACCCAGAGTTATCATGTCAACAAGCATTGCTACCACCAGCACAGCAAGATAAGGACAGAAATCTACCCCTTGTCCATGTTTGTTCATCTTATCCAGTCAGTACCCACAAATTTGGAATGTCATCCCAACAATGATGGGCACATTCTTGAGGGCCAGAAAAGAGCCACGTTGCAACAACTAGAGTTTCATTAGACACCATCTAAACAAGTCTATGCTGACGTAAGCCCTTCCCAAATTGCGGTTGAATCAATCGGGCATACAAACTACTCTTGCCCATTAATGTATCATGAGTACCTTCCTCCACAATTCGCCCACCATTAAGTACAACAATATTGTCTACATGCCTCATCATAGCAGCACGGTGAGCAATTAGAATCGTTGTTTTGTTCCCCATTACTAGAGTGTCAAGGGCTTCCTGCACCACCCGGCTTGACTCGGATTCGATGGACGAGCTGGCTTCATCCAATAATAAAATTGGTGCATTTTTCAAAACAACTCTGGCAATTGCAATTCTTTGCTTCTGTCCTGGAGTCAGATATACGTCCCTCATTCCGACGTGTGTGTCATAACCATGAGGCAAACTACTGATAAAATGATGAGCATTAGCTATTCTTGCTGCCTCTTTCATCTCTGCTTCACTTGCATTATGCCTAGCATAAATGATGTTTTCTCTTATGGTAGTTGAAAAGATTATCGGCTCCTGCTGAACAAGACCTAAGTGGCTCCTCAACCATCTCAAGTCATATGATTTCAAATCACGCCCATCCAGTAAAACCTGACCAGCAACTGGATCATAGAATCTTTCTATCAAAGATATTATAGTGCTCTTTCCAGACCCTGAAACACCTACCACTGCTATGGTTTGTCCCCCATTGACTTTGAGGCTGAAATTGCTTAGTACAAGGATTTCTGGCCGAGTTGGATAAGAAAAATCAACATTTTTTAACTCGATGCTTCCATAAACATTGGGAGGTTTCAAGGCTGAATTATCATCTGGGTCAATCTTAGGCACTCGATCAATTATTTCAAAAACTGACGTCAGAGATTTTCTTCTTTTGAGAATATATGGAGCTAAACCAAAAGGCTCAACCAGTGCAAATGTAGCAAAAGAGAAAACCATGTATTCCTTCAGAGCTGTAGCCAAATTCGTATACCCATTCTTGACAGAAAGGGCAGTATACCATAGCAGAAGAGCATTGCAAGCAAAAAGAAGAAACTGGGAAAAGCCAAATGCAAAGCCAATTGCAACTCCATGGAGAAAGCTTTTCTTGAATATTTGCCGAAGCTGCAACCTGTAGAGCTCCATTACCTTGTTGCCAGCACAAAATGCTACAACAGTATAAATATTTCTAACTGCATCCTCGAGAACCAAAGAGGCCTTCCTATGCATCTCCTGAATGCCCTTTGAAAATCCAGCAAGCCACAATTTCTGCACAATTAAGTTTAACATACTGTGAAGTTTGGGGGTTAAAATGATTTGGCATTATTAAATTGTTATCAGTCAATGTGGGAAGACAACAATATTTGAGTAGGGGAGAGCTAGTAACACATCGTCACATATCAATTCCGTTAGGATTGATCCTGAGGTAATAAAAAAAATACAACATAGCAAACTACATACCTGGGCTATTGCAGAAACAGTAAGAACAGGAAGAGTAGCCAAGGCCACAAGTGCCAACCGCCACTGCAGTAACATCCCAATGAGAACGGCCACCATAACAGCTGCGGTGTCTTGTATAAATATAGATAGCCGGTTGCTAAAAGCAGCTCTAACAAAAGTAGCATCATTCGCCAAGCGCATGGACAAGTTATCAGCACTGTTCTCTTCATCGTCAAACCATCCAACTTCATTGCGAAGCATTGCTGTTGAAGAAATCAGTCAGAAAATCAGAGCATTCATCAGATTAAATTCATTATTCACATAACATGCTTACAATGGCAAAAGTACAGCTTATTCAAGATAAAAATAATAGTTACAAATATGAGTCAAACCAGCAAAGAATAAAATTACTATAGGTATGTAATCAAGTACCTGAAAACATCATTCTCCGAACACGTTCAGTCATTTTCTCCCCCATTATGCCAAAATAGAAGTGCTGCAAAAAGTTGGCGATGACTGTTACAATTCCCATGCCGGCAATGATTAAGCACCACCTGTCTACTTCTTGGCGTAAGTGATGTTTTTTATCTTCTCTATAATATGCTGTTACTATGAGTGAGATAACATAAGCGAGCACGGGATTAAAAGAGCCAAAAATTGCAGCACCAGTGCTTCCTAAAACAGCGTAAAGCCACTCTGCAAGGCTAAGCTCTACAAGCCTCCAAAAGGATGGCTCTCCTTGAGGATGTTTGTCCTTGGTTTCTTGTGCTCTCATGGGCACATCATCGAATTGACTAAGTGGTCGACTAAATGTTTGTGAATGAGAACGTTCATTTTTCGGATCAGATGTCAAAAGGGGAGAGACAGGAGATTCAGGATCTGAGGCATCGTTCGTTTGTCGATGTGCAGGGTGAACATCAATCTTGGGTAGCTCTGGAAGTCTCATTTCAAAACTATCCTGCCTTTTGATAGACGGTTCTTTATCTGTCGAATCCAAGGAAACACCATTTTCAATTATTTGTTCTGACGGAGGGCTCAGAACCCTGGGAGATGTTTGTGAGTCAAATGTAACATCAGCCGGCCTAAACACATGGAAGCCAGATACCCTTTGAAGAGATGGTGACTTGGCCATTTTAGGAGATGATGGCTCTTGGAAGCTGTGACTTGCGGAAGTATCTTTTTCAATCTGGAAAGTTGCAGTGTCCTTGTAGTTCTTCACTGGCATCCTGATGAAGATAATGAAGCCATGTCAGTCTGATAAGTTAATTATCAGTATTAGCACAAAAATGATCATCACACAGGGAAGGGTTCAAAAAAAATGATCTGACAAGATATCAATTCATTTTTAAACAAAGAATCATTCACAAACAATATATCACGATGTTGCAAAACAGGCATTATATAGCTCCTCTACAGTACCTCCGTGGAAGTTTTGCAGCTTCTTCATTTTTGAGAAGCTCAGCATAAAGGCCATTCAAGTTTATTAGTTCATCATGTGTCCCCATTTCAACGAGTTGTCCTTCTTCCATTACAGCAATGTAATCAGCATTCTTAATCAGACTAAGCCGTCTAGCAATTATTATTGTTGATCTGCCTAACATGAGGAGATCCAGCGCCTCCTGAACAGCTCGCTCAGCTTCAAAATCAAGTCCACCAGTAACCTCATCTAGCAGTAGAATAGATGGATTAGAAAGCACAGCTCTAGCAACAGAAAGTTTAATTTTCTGCTCCTCTGTCATTGCTAAACCGGCCCTACCAATCTGAAAATCAAAGATTAGTTGATATAATGCAACGAAAGTTGAACAGATAAACCAGAACCCAAGAACAGATATAGGCATTTAATGCAAATAAACCTGAGTATCATATCCATTATCCAGTGAACTGATAAATGTATGTGCATGCGCAATTTTTGCAGCTTCTTCAATTTGGTCTAAAGAAGCATTTCGTCCATAAGCAATGTTTTCTTTGATGCTCAAACTTAATAAAGCTGGTTCCTGGGTGACTAATCCAATTTGGCTTCTTAGCCACTCCAGCTTCAGATTTTTTATATTTTCACCATCTAACAGAACTTCACCTGCGAGAAAAAGCAAAGGATTTGAAACTTTGAAACTTTAGGGAGATACTTGAATAAATTGATCCCCAAAATGTGATTTGAAACTTATGAGTTAATAATACCTAATGTAGGATCATAAAACCGCTCCATAAGCGGTATAATACTGCTTTTACCAGAGCCATTTCTGCCAACAAGTGCGACAGCCTTTTTAGATGGTACAGTGAGGTAAAACCCACTCAATATAGGAATTTCAGGACGGGAGAGATAGCTGAAATAAACATTTCGAAACTCTATGTTTCCTTGTACAAAACCAAGGGTGATTCCATCATGATTGACAGTGGAGGATGAACGACTTATCATCTCAAACAGTCTATAAGCAGCAATTCTCCCTTGTTCAAAAGAATAGAAGTTTGTTGCCGCTTGATTCAGCCCACTATCAAACACAAATGCAATAAATAAGTAATATTGCAGACTAGAGATGCAATAATTAGAAGTGAGGATGAGTTGCTTACAGGCCACTCAAAATAACAGCGAATAGCGCTGTTACAATTTCTCCCCCATGAGCTTTTCTATGTGTAACTAGGAACCTTCCAACCCAAAGTTGTAAGGCACAAGAACAGATTGCAAGCCCATAAGTGAAACCAAGTCCAAGTCCTTGCACGAGACTTATTAATATACCATATCTCAGAGTAGCTTGAAGTGAAGTTGCATAAGAATATTTTGCCAATGTCTCGTTCGTGAATGCATATAAGGTTCTAATATAAGATACAGCCTGCAGAACGAAAACAAAAAAATAAGAAAGAAATGGTTGCATGTGAACATCCCAAGAAACCAAGAAACTGTGGCTAAGAACAATAAAGTCAGAGATGATTGTTTTCCAGGTCACGATGCTAGCAAAGTATAGGAATTAGGAAGCCTCCAGCAAAATTTTGTAGAAAGTTCAAATTTTATGAGCTTAACACAAACCTAAATAGATATTTGATAAGATTATTGCATCTTTCTTCTGTGTAACTTGGTATTTTTGCACCAAGAAATATTTTTGCATGCAATATAAGTGGATGTTGATTGTCCTACGTATGTGTATAGCATAAACTCGTATTGATGTAAATGTAATTATTCTCTGTCCAAAATAAGAGCAGAGTTCTAAAAAATGAAGCCCCTGCAGAAGTGGGGTTAAGGATGCTAAAGAGATTACATGCGTTCCATATTTATGCTTTTTATTCTCAGTCACTCATCATGTAATTTTGGAGATAAGGCTACATGTCCCATTCCCAGTGGTACTGACTTTCAAGTGTAATCTACAAGTAGGGGTATGCCAAACCCCCACCTAGGCATAGGTGGTGTTTGGAGAGGAAAAACAAGGATGCTAAATCTGAGTTTGAAAAAGTAGTGATGGACTACCATAAATTCATTAAAGATTTCCTGTATTTGAACAGTGTTATTTCTTCTTTCCCATCCTCTACTTTGTCCTGGAGAATATGCATAGACCACGAAAAGCAGTTCCAGGTGCTTCAGTTCCCTGTGGGTCTGAAGATTGTTCAAAATCCGCAGCTTTCCCACTTTCATTGACATTTATAAATTTATAGTGAAACTCGTATATAACTCCATTAAAGATCTCTCTTATTAGCACAATGTTTTGTCTCTTTCCTACCCTTTTAAACCTCCCTTCTGTTGGATGGCTATGGCTGGAGGAAGTAGAATTGGGTAAAACTCTTTTCTGGGGAGGGAAATGTAGATAGGTTAAAATCTTAATGATTTAAACTCCAAAAAGGAACTATTAAATGCATATCTTGTACGCAATAATTCACAGTACTGTTTAGACAACAGCGGAGACATTTGCAAAATATAAATAAATAAAGTAAAATGACCTCTCACTAGTACATTCTTATAAATCAGGCAGGTATGTATCAGATTACTAGTGCAAATCAGGTTGTTACTACTTCCATTTATATCAGCAAATAACTAAGAATTGAAGGTCTTTAATAACAGAGATACACACAGAGCATAGAAGGAACAGGCTTGTTTTTGTTGCAATATTTTAATTTCGAATTTTATCTGCAGAACATGTTTGGCAGTGCTTAAAGATTACTTTCCTCAAAGGTAAGTAAAATGAGTAACTTTGAAAGACGTGTTTGGCAAAATAATAAGTAACTCAGAACTAAGTTTCACTTGCTTCTAAACACAACCAAACACGTTCTTAGTATGATCTCACGAGACTTCAAAAATATTAACTAAATGTTCCAGCCAATGTCAATTTTGCAGGGAAATTTAGAGATAGAGAAAAGACAGATGAAGGGAGAAGATTTGACCTGCTCTGCAATACTTGCTGCTTCAGCATAAGCATCTTGGATATTCTCCGCAAGCCTATGCAGAAATATATTTGATATTCCTCCTGCAGCAACAATGAATGGACCTGTGGCTAAAGTTATAAGGGCAATCTGCCAACAGTTGACAAATCCAATCACTAGACCACTGATGAAAGTAGCCATATTATGAATATAGTTTCCAACCTGTCACATCAGAATACATTTATTGATATCATACTAATATAGTAAAATAAAAAAGCAAGCTAAAAAGGAGTTCACGAGCAGAAATAACGAAACTGAACATACTTTTTCGCTAAGAGCGGATTGAATGAGCAGAACATCACTCAGCACTTGGCTCACAATGTCTCCATTGTTACCATAAGTATCAAAAAAGCTCATGTCTTGATTAAGTAGTACTTGTACATATCTTGACCTGATCACTGCAGTCTGCCTTTCTCCAGTAAGAATCCAGCACGATACCTCTATTATGTAAAAGATAATATAAGAAATGAAATATCAAAAAGTTGCCGTAGTCAATGGCAGCACAGGAAGACAGAAGCATATCAGGAATAATAATGGCATAGCAGCCTTCAACAATTAAACACCAGGCTTACCAATCCAACCAGCAACAAAAACTCCCACGGCAATGTAAACAATTGTTAAAGCAAGCTGCAAAATTTCAAAGTAGCATTAGCTGGCAACAAGTATGGACTAGAACATCCTTACAAATTTCATATCTATGTAAATGAATGTTCACCAATTTTTCGCTAAGAGCAGATTTATTCTGTACCGTTCTTCGTGAACAATGTTTATGGGCATATCTATGTAAACAAATGGTTTGCACAGTTCTTCATATCTATGAAAACAATTGGTTTGCAAACTAAGAGTTACAGTTTCTCTTCTCTTCGTAAATAATTGGTTTGCAAGGTCCTTCGTAAGCCAATTGTGCAGTTTAAAGCTCCCAGAAGGGGTAGGAAAAAACCACTGTTCTTCTAAATCAATTATGCAGTTTTAAGGATACCGGAAGGGGTACGAAGAGAAGAAAAACTGTAACTATTAATCTGTGCAAACCGATTGTAAACAATGTTTATGGGCAAATAAAAACACAATTTAACGCCTAAGAGATTCCTTTTTAATAATACAGTGTACATAAAAGAGAAGAAATGACAGTGTCATGATAGCACCAAGAAATTATTTAGAAATTGCATTACTAATTTAGAGGGTGAGGCAAGATATTACCTACTTATCATCCTCTTGGCTCCATATCTAATTACAAACTTCTATAATTTATTATAGGTGGTGCTGACTTCAACGTAATAAACAATCACCTTCCCTTACTTTTTCTTGGTAAGTGAAACAACTAATTGCCCAATCTATTCAACCAAATTTCGGAAGACCAAATTTAGTTTCACCAGCATCTCATCAAATCAAAAGTTTCTAGTCTGACAACAAATTAGCCAATTAAAGTTCCCTTGCCCTTCTCTATTAAGAAAAAGAATACTCATAACTTATAAGTCATCAATGCAACCCAAACAACAGTCAATGTTGGAATGCTCAATCATAACTGAAGTGCAACAGGACTAAAGTTGAGTGATACATCACAACGCCTACCTTGATCTTACACTGATCACATATATATTTTGAGCAAACAATAAAAGAAATGCTATTTGAAGCTCCCTTCAATTTATCAGGTGGGTTCTTATTTCCAGTGTAGTATATTTCCCAATATATTACTGAAGGTAGCAACAGAACACCACCCCACTATGTAATAAAAGATTGATTACAGCCTAAGACAAGAACGTTAAAGTACAACATGATATTAATTCAGATAAATTTGCAGCGCCAGTCCCCAGACTTTGCCAGATAAAGCACTGGTACTCAATCAATTTTGTTTTTGACCTGTAAGGCCCCAAACATTCAATTTCAGTGCAAGCCAATCCCCACCAGATGGAAACCATCACCTAGTCACATGTCTTGAATGCCATCTTTCTGAGAGGGTTATTTAAATTAACCAAGTTCAAAACCAATAAAAAAATAGAGAGAAAGAGAAGGAAGAAAACAAAAGAAACTAAAAAAGGAAAATATCAAACACAAGCCCACCATTCCAATTCCCCTCCCCCGCTTTTGTCAGCAGCTTTTCTCTGAAACCCCCCTGCCCCACCTCAAACAAGCAATGAGTCACTGACCAAAGGTCTAAATGTAGAATCAATTTTGATTGCACAATCTGCCAAGTCTCCTAATTACGTTACTCACAGTGAAGAGTTAACAAGAACTGATTTGGTTTTCAAATTTTGAATCACGAACCATAACTGATGAAGGCAAAATAATAACTCAATTTAATATCGGGTTTGTTCGTTTTTGACGAATTGCTAATCTAATTTGAGTGGAAACGGGCCAATGATNAGCCAAAACTTCTTTTTTTTTTTTTTTCGTTTTCTTTACTTTCTAAATTAGCTGGTTTTAGTGAGATTGAGATAAGTTGATGAAAACAACCCTCTAAAAAAGATCCTGTGAGAGGTTGATTAATAAAAAAAAAGTGACAATATTCATTCAGTATGGACCAACTTGAACCAAAATTGAAAGTTTGCGAACTTAAGGCCAAAAATATTAATTGAGGACCCATTGGAAAAGCTTGGGGCTGCGGCCGCAAATTTTCAATCATACACATCAATTTGTCACCTTTTATTAGTTTTATTAGTACATAGCAGCACCATCCTATATATCCCTTCTCTTACCTAACTGGCATGTTGAATGACAAATCCCACCTAATAACTATCCTTAGGAAAGCTTGTTTCACACACAATTAGATAAAAAGGCAAAGACCTAAAACTGCACGAACGCATTGACTTGCAATAAAAAATTATAATATTTATTGTAGTTCTATTACCACAGTTTCACTTAGACAAGTATTACAATACTAATTGGCTTACAGCTAAATGGCATGTAGAACCACCAAATCATCCATTATGTCTTTTCCATATATACCGCAAAGGTAAAACCTCATCACTGGCCAGCTAACATTTGTACCACGTAATACTGAACAACAACCAGTCATATCGATAACTTAATAAGCAACATGTGCAATAAACTTTCGATCCCCCAATAAACCTTAAAACACTATTCCAGAAGCATTTTGACTATTTGCACAATCCAAACTTGCAGTCACTACAAAAGCAACTGTTATCCATTACCTTCGATCCCAGATAAACCCAAAGGAAGAAGAACTATAATAAATAAAACAAATAAACTTGTTAAATAACCTTTATAATCAAATTCCTGAAATAAAATTGACACAGTTGATTCAAATATTTTATTGAAGAGAGATAAAAGGAAACCTAAATGCCCCCAGCTCCATGCGGAAGGAAAAAAGAAAGACTTAACTGATGAAAGTTCATGTTTCCTTATGGAAGTCTCCTCAGTAACAACATCAATTTCCTTTTTTTCGTTAAATAAAATGAAATGAACACTTTATCAGAATTTCAGAAATTATTTTTATTTAAAAAGTAATGAAACAATCTTAATTTGGTAAATAATGAAGCCCACTTGCCACCCAGCTTCCAGCAGTAGCAAGTTTTAAAATCTTGCCTAGATATACTGATCATCAAGGTAAGCTAGTTAGATAGTCGTAGTTATGAAGTAAAATTTACGTATAACACGACGAATTCACTCTAGCATACCAATATGTTTCCATATAGAGCAAAATACAGGCTTTTTGCTCTATTCAATGAAACAGTATACTCTAAACCCTGCAATTCTACTCAATAACCACAAACACCATCAATGTAACTACAAAACTGAAAACTAAAACTTGGGTTTTATGAAAATAGAAATATGCTAAAAGTATTATGAATACCTCAGTGAACTCGTCAAAGAGCTTGTCACTGTTGTCAGGTGGGTCGGAGCCATGGCGGAGAAGCTGAATGATTTTGGCGAAATAATGCAAGTAAACAACGAGGGCAGTGCCATGGGCGGCGGCAGCAAGAGATCCAACTACCATCAGACCCCAGTCGAGCCGGTCAGCACAGGCAAACAGGCCGGAGAAGGGTACAGCGCCTGGTGGCTGCTCGATCTCATCTGCCTCGGCATCCATCTCGTCCTCCACCTCGACCGGCATGGCATCCACAGCGCTCGCGTCCAGGTATGGTGATGGAGACTCCGGTGGCTCAGACACCTCCGACACCGGCGTCAAAGGCTGTATGTGCGGCGGCGACCACCCAAATAGCCCCCTCGATATCATCATCTTTACTTAAAACCTCAGTCCCAAAACCACTGTATGAAACCCTAGAAAACAGCAAGTTGCTCAACTTAGATCAGATGAATTCTAGATTCATTAGCGGGGTTGGAACTTTTCGATTAGAGCAATAATCAAGATGGCAATTGTGAAGAGAGAAGAACTGAATTGAGGGGTCAAGTTGGGTGACTCGGAGGCTTGACTCAGTCAAAGAAGGCGGATTAAGAGTTGGGTTGACTCGACAACGGAAATATGCCAGAACTCCGAAGGCCTGTAAAACGACGACGTCTCTGAGACTATAGTCGTCGAGGATCGAAGGAAGTGTTTGGTTGGCATTGTTATTATTCAAGGAAAAGTGATGGTGATACAGCTGTGAATATCTCAGGGAGTTTTTCGTATATTTACGTAGGAGTAGATGACAGGTGTTATTCAATCATTGGTTGATTGTTTGGTTTATTGACAATGGATCAAGAGCACGGAACTATGGGAAGTCAAACGACGACGCATCGTGTGTGTTATGCTTTTTTGTCTGTGCCAGGCCTAATTATCTGTCAGCCTATCATCATGGCCTTGGCCTTTTCTCACTTTCTGTATTGTTAATTTCACTAGTGGTCAATGAAGTTTGTGTAAAATTTCAAGTTGGCCATCAAAGATTATTTTTCATCCATTTAATCTACCATGCTCGGACTCGAGCACGTATCTAAGCGTCTGATTTTTTATTTTCTAAAATATAAGGTAGGAGAATATGGCTAAAAGAAATTCAAATTTCATTAATATGGTTTTTTTGTCAACTTTATTAACATATCATCACTATTAGAGTGACTTTTTTGTCAACCTAATCAACCTAAAAACATTAGTAGCAATGCAAACAACAACTCATTTGATTAAAATCATGAAAATTGCCCGACACTTGGAAGATATAAACCCCCATATAAATTGTTGTGTTCAGATGGAGTGCTCGCACCCGTACTCGTGTCCTGAAGCATTGACATAAGTATTCCGACCATTTCGAAGAGTACGAGTATCACAACATTTAATCAATAAAATTTATGAAACTTCAAACCGTTGGTCATTCGACTAGTATAACTAACATATAATCCAATTGTGTTATCTAATAAATGTCAGGTTGAAACAAATTCCATCATTCGATCAAAAATCTTGCTTATTGGGAAAAAAAAAATCAACACTATAGGATTATGATTAGTTTAGATGAAAGATGGACTTGGGAATTTACTAGTGAATGGAGAATTAGCCGTTTTAAGGCTACTGACAGAATTTTTCAATGCGGTTATTGCAAATTAATCGAAGTTTGAGCATCCATTTATAAAAACAAGGTTAAGGGTGAGATTGCAAACAGATCTAAATGATGAGGATATTGACAATAATTTATGCTAAAACCTCAACAACTAAATACGATGTGAAAGGAGTGTGACATTGATTTGCAATTGATTTTTTATTTTTTTTCTATAAGCAAGATTTTTGATCTGGTGATGGAATTTGTTTAATCGAAGTTTGAGCATCCATCTATAAAAACAAGGTTAAGGACGAGATTGCAAACATATCTAAATGATGAGGATATTGACTATAATTTACGCAAAAACTTCAACAACTAAATACGATGTGAAAGGAGTGTGACATTGATTTGCAATTGATTTTCGTCAGACAATGATCGAGGACCCCAATAATTTTGCTATCGCACTAGATATTTTACTATTTTAGAAGTTGGGAAGGGAGCAAATTCATCAGAAAATATAAGAGTTTGTTTGGTAACACTAAAAATCCAATTAAAATTAAAAATATAATCGTTATTGGGTCTCACCCGTCTAATAAAAGTCAACAATAACGATTAGTTTTTCAATTTTAATCCGATTTTAATCTCTACCAAACATGCTTTAAATATACATCGCAACTCTTTTAACTTCTGTAGATTGAATAATTACTTACCTCTCTTCTTTGGTTCTCGTTTTCTTAGGAATCCTCTTGGCTAAACATTAGCGTGTGAAACCTTAGATTGGCCATTAAGTAAATTCTGTTGGGCTAGGTTGGTCGACTGTCTCGTATTTTGGGCTCGATTTGCTAAAATTTGACCATTTCAATTTAAATGAATTTATTAATAACTATATTCAGTGACCGAATAAAAATTTGCTTAAAGATCAGATGGAATTTGCACTAGATTCTGCATATCATCACCCCCTGTAGAGTATGTATTAATACTGAAATACAAACTTTAAAGAGAATATTTGGATCAATACTCTCACTGTTGTATCTCATCGGAGTAACTGAGTAAGCTCATGCAGGGGCCTGCACAAACTTTTGACAAGGGAACACCATGTCCCATAAATCATATGATTAAAGCCTCTAAAATGACTTTTCCATGTTGCACAAACTAACACTTTATTGGAAAAGTATTCCCAATCTAATACTTAATGGCAAACATTTCTCTCAACACTTCTCCACACAATGTAATATCACATTATTGAGATACAAAACAAGCTGGCTCTTTTCCACGCACACTATCCATATTAGTTTTAACGAGCCAGAGTCGGACGACATTGACATTTCAACAAAAGGAAGCAAGATGAAGCAACGAAGAAAATGATCTGTCTATCATCTAACACACAATAATTGACAGAGGAAATGTCTTGCAATCACACGATTTGCTAAAGACAGCCATCTCCACATCCTGCAGTACAGATCTTACCATCACAAGAGACCACAACCAGACTACAATATATGCATCGATCTCCAGGAAAACGAAACAATTATCAGGGCTTAAAATTCATTTTACCAGAGCCACATTTGACTCATTGCTCATAGCATGATCCTGGGCCAGTTGGAGGACATCGAGCATAAAAATTCCTAGTAGGTGCAGCTGGAACTCCGCGCCTCGTCAGAAGACAACGGAAGTACTCTAATATCTGCAACGCAGTTAATGTATTATTTCCAGAAGATGCAGATTCCTTGTAGCTCCACAAGCGTTCTACATAGCATGAAAAAAAGAGGAGTTCAATGCAAGAACTTCAAAATTTTCTAATTGAGGACTTTAAGCTAATGCTTCTTCCTGCCTTAAGACGAACTAAAATAATTGGTACATAGTATCTCCTCAGAGTGACCATTCATTTTGTTGTGATAATAAATAAGCTACATCATTCACTTTGGTCTGTTAAGAATGGCTCATACAGCTCATGTAGTGCAAAGGAGCAGCTTGGCAACATTTTGGCGAAGTTACTGTCTATAGGTCATTTTTATTGTCAAAGAGAGTTAACTGGAGTTACGGGGAGTGTGCATTACAAGAAAATTTCGAAGATATTACAATCTAACATAGCATTCATTTTTGAAGAATAAAAATTTTCAACATGGTTGTTTAATTGAAGGTGTACTTGAGTCTTGTTTAATGCATTCAAAGTCACTCCATATGTCTCTATGTAATACTGTCAGTATGCATATTCTAAGTGCACTAAGACGACTCTAGAATATTACGATCTCTTCTAGATACAACAGACAACTGACAACAAATGCGCATAGGGAGGCATTACTTGACATTTGCAACAATCAAAGTTGTGATCAAAGCACTACATCCATGAATAAACCAAACATATAAACATAGTTATAAGAAAATGAAGTAGATGAAACAAGCATACACACACACACACTCCACATACAAGAACAATATAATATTCATCATAAATAAAATATATATATGAAATCAATGATTACGTGCAAACTGTCACATAAACACAAGCATAAGTAAATGGGTGACATGTAAAACTGTAATGTGCATGGAGGTGATACCTTATTGTGGATACAAGTGGCGACGAGCTGTTTCACAACAAATATTGCACGTTCATATCATTTTTCATTCATTCCCACAATGAAAAAATAACCACCACAGTAAAATAAAATAAGAAGCAGGCGAAGCCGAGTTGTCCACCGAGCAATAGTCTCTTATGCCCCATGCCTTACTGATAAATTTGACTTAAAGAAGAGAATGCCTATTTGGGTCACAGCATAGATTCTCGTCCTAGGTCCAAGGTTCAAACATATGCAACAGTGGTGACAAAGTTTCTTCATTTAAAAAGATAGTGAACTGGCCAGTCCAGTAAATGCAACAAGTCGAACAGAGTTGAAAGCATGCTAGACATTATTAATCAAGCTCAAGTCCAAGCAAGGCATGATATCGAGTGTTTCCTAGTGAAAGAAAATGAAAAGCGACACTCATTGGCCAAACATGAATCAGGCATCACTAAAGTAAATCAGATGAAGTTAACTAGATAAAAATAAAAAAGCAGCAGCCTGTTGCTTAAATGAACACAAGTTTTTAACGGTATATGTAACACCCTGAATTCTCTTTACTAGCCATTATTTTCGGTATTAGTGGTACCTGGCAGTCGGAGCATGGAGTGGCTAGTGGTGTTGAAATAGCATAAGACCCACACTAACTAAGTTGTTTTACTAAAAGAGAAATAAAACCATTTCAAGTTTTATTCAAGTACTTCTCATTAAATTGTCTTTGGAGTTGGAATAAACGATTAGGTTTCATTTATTAAGAATTATGAAACTACTTTTTATATGTCTTGATTTACAAAAATATGTTTTAATAATTGCGCCTTCCTCTTATTTAAATATTTTACGTTCTATGAAAAAGTTATAGTGGCACTTGGGTCGTAGGACTCAGGGTGTCACAGTATAAATTTCCAAACCTAAAGAATATTTCATAGAGAAAAATTTCTAGATTCTTAATTGTAATCAGACATAGCTTATGTTAATCTGTTGGATCTAGATGCCAAAGTGATACAGTTAATGTTTACCTGCCGCAGCAGCTGCTCGAGGCCATATTGTTTGTTGAACATTAGACGCATCAGCTTTTTCACCCCACATACAAACCTCTCCTCCAAGAACGAGTTTCTGCTCGGAAGCATCAGTTATTCCTTCTAGTGGGTCAGCATAATAGACGGTACTCCATGGAACATCTAGGTGGTCAAGATACCAAACGCCTTGGTTACTGAAAATGCACCTAAAACCTTTTGCAACAGCTTTTGGGCAAACGCCAGAACCCAACCTTCATGGATCACAAAGGATCAATACCTCAGCTTTTTTATCAATAACTTGACAAGATTTGATAAGAAAATAGAAACAATCAGATTCTCACCAGTTATGTACTATGGTCTGTGGGTTGAGTGTTGTTGGGAATGTGTTGAAAGTTTCTTCACTGAAATAACATAAATTACAATATATTACAAATATAACAGAAAATTATTTTTTGGTTCAAACACATTATCAATGAAATCTTGTCTTTATCCTCCAATGTAACATTCGGAGCATTAGCTTTCCCAACCGTGGTCCTAGGCGTGAAACTTGAAAAAATTTGCATACAATAACCCACTACAACTTCTCTCGAAAATATAAATACCCCCAATAGCATAAGAAACACATAAAATAAAAAGAGGATAATATACCAGTTGACAGGGGTCCAATTGAGTGATGCTGCTATTTCTTGAGCTCTGAGTACAAAATATTGATATGCATCATTACCAGTCATATTACAAGTTTAGCATATGACACGGATTCTATGACTTGCTTGATTATATCAATTGGCAAATAATGCCTTGATGTATCTACAAATAACATTAATATAAGATATATCAATTTGCAATGCAGTGTCGGATTATTTGAAGCAACATAAAAAGTTTCGACTGAAAAAAGAATCACTTATTACCAAGCAAAAGACCACGATATTCAAATCTTGGCTTGTCCTGGATGTACCACGGTGCTTTGTACACTTGGAACAGTTTTGGTTCCATAATCAAAAGCACATAGTTGGCTCAATGTCTGCAGAACAGCATAACTCAGAGAAAATGAGACTAAAACCTTGTAGTTCCTCAGTGCTTGCTACTTCTAGCTGCCAGCATATTATTGCAAGAGTAGAAAGACACTTCAAATAATGAGTCATTGGATATGATTGACAAAAATATTTTCATCTCTGACTTGCTTCTCAATAAGTTGAAAGTCAAAGATGATATTTGAAACCAATAAATTGTCTAAACAAATGTTCATGACATTTTCTTTCCCTGTTCTCCATTTTACTTCCTCTTCTCTTTCCCTTCTTCTTTCTCTCAAAGAACCCATGCATATATAGGTAGACACCACCACTAACTGGTCTGTAGCACTTACGAAGCCAAGCAACTGGAAAAACGTAGCATTTTGCAAGTTGTTCGCAAATATATCTACTGTGAACCACCATACCTCTAGGCCACGCAGTGAACCATACACAGAACTTGCCTGCAAATTACAAAATACTAACAAGACTCAGAAAAATCATCTTGGAAAAATGATGCATCTATGGATGCATTATTTGAAGAGATTGTAAATAAATTCGTATAAATCAGGTTTAGTACTTCAAACAGAGATGATTAAAAGTAAAAATTATGTAAAGATTCAAGCTTCAGCCAGGTTTGTTCAAGTAATAGTAAATGTCACGGGAGTGCATATATAATCTCCAGATATATGGATAAAAGAATGGAATAGCCAAGGAGAATGTCATTCCATCTTCCCGAGAAATAACAATACTCATGCACCAGGTGCAATTTTTCTAGTCTCTTAAGCCTTTTATCTATTTTTGCCTTGCTGTTAAAAATAATTGAGCAATGCAAAATCAAAAGCTTACTAGGAAATGAGAAAGACTCAACAACACAAAGAAAGTAGAAAATTATATAAAGATTCTCTGAACAAAATAAGAAAAAATGGCCAATATCAGAGTCTATCCAATCTCCAACCCTTTTTTTGTTTCTAAAAAATAACAATTTGATTTTTCTATTGTACCTCAATTGTAATTTCCCCTATAATGGAATGCTCGTCTCTTTTGGCCACCAACAATGAATAGCTCTCGTCCACTCCAAGTTGAAGCTACAAAATTTTAAGTAAAAACGAAAATACAAACAAATCCAAACTTCTATAATCCAAATTACCTCTTCATTAGCGGAATGAACAATAAGATTAAGCTTTTCAATATCATAGCTCCGTCCAAAGTTCGATAACTCAGAATGGTGCTTAAATATAATCAATTTATATCTCTCAAAAGCTTCATTAACAATAGCAGAACCCCCACCATTGCCACTAACAACAAGTGACAAATTAGGGTCAACCGCCAGCGTTTGATTCCCGAAACTGAACTCAGAAGGCAATGGCCAAATATATGGGGTTGAGTCATCAGCATTCAGTTGGGTATGTGAACCGTGTTCTAGATTACGGGAAGCATTTACTAGTGGGAAGAGTGATAAAATAGATGAAAAAGATGCATCTGGGGAGCAAATCGGAGTGAGGATTTGATGAAACGTCATTCATTTTTGGTAGAGTGAACGTGACAGTCTTTCGTCGAGCGTCTTACCGTCCTTTAGAGATGTCATATTTAAGTTTTTGTTCCAAAGAAAAAGAGTAAGTGATTAGGGTAAGGATTAAAATCTAATTAAAATTGAAAATATAAATTTTATTGAGTCTCACTCTTCTAATAAAAATCAATAATAACGATTAATTTTTCAATTTTAATTTCTACCGAATACACCCTAAAATGTGATTAATATTGATTGTTTGACTATGACTTAGATTAAAATTAGATTTTAATTCGGTTCAAACAGACCCATAACTCGTCCTAATTTTCATATGGGAGAAAACTATATATCGGGGATTAAGTATATACCAATTCAATTTTCAGGGAATAAGTTTATATTTTCCAAAACTTGGGTGCTAATCAAATTCTATTACATAAATAAATAATTACATATATAATAATTACAATCTCTCTCATCGGGACCACAGTCATCTACATCCGCCCCACCGACATCTACCAGTCGGAATTCAAATAACTTCGTCGAAGGAAAGATAGAATCTACAGAGATCGCTGACGACTGAACATCTTCTCCAATGGCGTATTGATCATTGCTTAGCTAAGACTGAGCATCGCCGCTTGAAATAGTAAAGAGAGAGGGGGAAACATAGCAACTAGTGTAATTTAAATTTATTTTTAAAAATTGAAATTTGAAAAATAGCCCCCAGTGTAATTTACATAGTAGTCACCGAATCAAATAACTTCAATTCTCACTGTCGAAATTTGAATAATTAAATTTGTGAGACTAGTTCAAAGAGACCAATGGCATGTTACCAGTTCTCTTGAATTTACATTGATCTGTTGCCTGCGATATTGTTCCAATGGCCTACAAAATATAATCAGTGAGATGTAGACATTCATCTGTTACTTATGAATAGTGACATGTTACCTATGATTTATAACATGTGATCAATTAATAGTAACATGTGAACTTTAATCAATGACCTATACAATATGACTGTGATCTATGAATGGTGACACGTGATCTATGAACTATAACATGTGACCTGTGAATTATAACCCGTGATATGTGAACATGATATAACATATACATTATGACATGTGACCTGTAAACTATAATTTGTGCTGTGAATTATAACTCATGACCAATTAATATTGAAATGTGAACTATAACTTGTGAACACGTGAACAACTGTGGCTTATACAATATGATACGTGACTTGTGACATGTGAACTATGACACATGACCTGTAACTATAAAATGTGACCAACTAATAAACATTTAGTGATCTGTGACCTGTAAATATTAATTTGTGACTTGTAACAAGTGCACAAAGACATGTAACACGTTATCAGTTCCCATGTCGCTGGTCATTGTGCACATGTCACAGGTTATTGTATCAATGTTACAAATTATCTATTTTATTGGTGACAAATTATTTCTTGATCACAGATTAACCCAATTTATTGATCACAAACCGTATTTATACAACCCTAACCCTATCCAAACCCAGCACCACAACCACCACATTCACAACCTAACACCACCATATCCCATACAATCTCAATCCAATCCAATCCAACCTAACCCTAATACCACCACCTCACTGCATCACAATCCAATTCACACAATCACCTAACATCACAATAAAAATCAGGTCACAAGATCACAGATCACCCAAACACCCAACATCACAATCAAAATCCAATTCACAAAATCACCCAATATCACAACCAAAATTTGATCACAAAATCACAGATCACCCAAACACCCAACATAGAAGTATAAAATGAGCATCATAGCTCGTAGAAGTACATGATCAACTTAAATGTAAAGGTCTTCATCAGCCACACCAACATAAGCAGTAAAATGGCCAGATCCAGTAGCACTGACACTCATCGAAATTTAGTGCTCGTTTGGTAAAGATTAAAATCCAATTAAAATTGAAAATATTGTTGTTATTGGGTCTCACTCGTCTAATTGAAGTCGACAACAGCTGCTGGTTTTTCAATTTTTAATTCGATTTTAATCTTTACTGAACACGCCTTCAGTCTCGAACCCTATTGACTGCTGCAACGTCTGTGCAAATGCTTGGTACTTGCGAACATCACTTCAAAACAACAAGGTTTAATCTCAACCACTTCATCTTCACCGCCGACCTCCTCGGCCACGGTGTGCTTTTGCGGCGACATCGCCGCTCACGACGCTCGTGGTGGCTACATCGTTGTTGCAGCGACGAGTTTACGGTGGCCTCAAATGACGTGAGATGTGAGAGATAGAACCGTGGCTTTGAGAAATGTAAAAGAGAGGGAGATTGAGATGATAGTGAAGGTAATTTTAATTTTGATTGGATACTTGATTTATGCTTAAGTAAATTTTATACCTAATTTTAGAATTGACATCTTTAAAAATTTGTTGTGGTGTAATTTATACTTTTCAGATCATTTTGACAGGGCTTTTGAGAAATAAAAAGAAACTTGTGTTATTTTTGAATTCATTTGATTAATTTTATAAAAATATTTTTTTGATTAGAAGATCCCTTAATTGAAACTAACTCAATGTGACTTTCTCTAAAAGTTGTTTCGAAACTATTTTAGGAATTAATTTTTAAATACCGATTAAGGAAATTTTTTTTAAAAAAAGTTCTTTTAAAACTTTTTGTAGAATAGCTTTTTGAGATCTCAGACCCTATTTGATTGCACTTCAATTCCTGGAAGATGGAAATTAAATTTCATTTTCCACCTTTTTGCATGCTTGATTGCCCAAAATTTTCATGGAATTGGTTTTCCAAATTTCATATACATGCTCACATTTTCTTGGTTTGAGGAAAAGTTTTTCTCATCACTTTCTATGCAACTTTTTTTTTTTTTGGTAATGAAAACAAATATATCCTCAATCGTAACAAATTATATCCCTTTAATAGACATTTTTCGTGAAAAATAAAGCCAAACGAACACTAAAAAAATCCAAAATTTCAATATTTTTCAGGTGAAAAATTATATCAATCAAACACAATTAACGACAATTCTCAATAAAACAAGTTCTAGACAATTCAATTATCTGAAATTTATTTTCTTTCCACCCAAATTCTATTATTGCGGTCAAACGGGCCCTTTGATCAACTTTCTTTAAAAGTTATTTTAGTCGGACAAACACTTTTAAAATTTATTATTCAAATATGTTTAAAAGTAATTTTTTTTTTTTTTAGGAACTCAAAAACCGTGTCAAATGGCCTTTATTAGTAACTAGTCACAACTAAACGTACAACAATGCTTTATAAATGCTGTAAAGATGATATTTGAAAATCAGTGAATATAAAAAATAATTAAAAAAAATTGTTTAAGTGAAATGAATTTTTTATTAATTTACGTGTATAATAATAATTAACATTAATTTATATACATACTACTATGATTCAATCAATTAATTCTTCAAGTTCAGGCAAGTACACTTTCTATATTTTTGGGGCTATTCAATTATTTAGAAATACTACAATTCAATTATTTATGTATGTGCATGTATACTAATTAATGTTTATTTATGGATATATAAAATATAATTTTAAGTCATGAAGTTTATGTACACATGTTTTGTGAGCTATTCCATTATTTTAGGAGTAAATAAATTATTCAAGTTCATGAACATGTATTTATTTTCAAAATTATTCATTTTATCACAAATTATTCTAGAGTATATAAATTCTTAAAGATAATATAATTTGAGAATTATTTAATCATTATAGGAGTAGATCAATTATTCAAGTTCATGCACACTTATTTAATTTCAATATTATTCATTTAATTTATGATATAACGTTATTTGTCTAAATGTATATAAATTATTCTTTTTTTTTATATTCACTGATTCAAATTAATTAAATTTCATGTTGGTTCACTTCACTTACACCCCATTTATTTAAATGTATATACATTATTTTTTTTTAATATTCATTGATTCAAATTAATTAAATTTCATGTTCATGAATCAATATGATCGTTCTCGTACAATTCAATTATTTATTTGCGTGCATGTTTAATAATAAATATTCTATTAAATATATATTGAAAAACGAAAAGTAAGGTACTATTTAAATAATTAAATTGTAGTATGACTAAAATCATCCAGAAAATAATTCTCACTTGATGCGATAATATATTATAGGTATCTAAACCGGACATTTAATTATCCAGATTTGTCAAATCTTTTTGTTCCCATATATGGAGAAAGGATAATCCTAACTTTAGGGGTGGGCATTGGTTGAGTTGGGTTGGGTCGGGTCGATTTTTGTCTCAATCCAAACCCAACTCAAGATGATCGATTTGATCAAAATTTAACACAACCCAACCCAACCTAACCCAATCAAGTATCGGTCGGGTTGGGTTGGTCGGTTTGAGACGACTTGTCAACAAAAATTAAAGTTATCCAATTTTCTATTATACTAAATTCGAATAGACAAGATTAAATAGTAAATAAATAAATAAAATTATCTATTATCTTATTCAATTCCCATTAACCGAGTTTACAAAGAACAAAGTGCATTTAACAAAATATGAAAAACTTATACTACATTTCTCGTGTCAAGAACAGTAAACTTCTCCTCTAAAATACACTAAGGTAATTGCAGTTACAATATCTACTAATACTTTTTAGGTTTTTTTACTTTTCTTTTTATTTCTTTTTTTAAAAAAAAAAAAAAGTGGCGGGTTGGGTTGAGCGAGTTTATTCAGTTTTCATGAGTTAACCCATAACCCAACCCGACTCGACTCAACCCACCTACACAGCCACCCACCCAACCCGTATAAAAACAACAAAAAACCGGACCCAACCCGATCGTGTTAGTTCTGTTTGGGCAATTTTGACGGGTTCGATCGGATTTTGCCCACTCCTAACTAACTTGCTTTGCATAAACTTTGAGAATGAGAGCTAGACATTCTATAAAGGTAGAATATTGATTAATTGATTCCTTGTTTGGTAGCTATTGACAACACCAACAA